CGTGCCACAAACAGACCCACACTCAAATGATAAGGTATGCTGTTGTTTTTCTTCTCGTCAGTCAATTGGTTCGAATGACAACGGATTAACAGTACCTTCTTGCTTGTCACAGTATGGCGCTCCTCTATGGACATTTAGCTGTTACGTTAATCATTGACATCTATGTTTGACGAATACCAAAACTCAATGGAGAACAAACATTTACAAATGCATGAAACGATTGGCAGCGACAACTAAATACATACCTGCTGCTTATTTTTTTTCTTCATTTCATTTTCTATTTCCTATTGTTAGCGTTTGTGATGAATCACATGAACGCTACACAATGATTTAGATGCACCTTCTAGTCTAATTGGCTTAGAACATCTGCTCGAATAGCAGAAGGTATGGGTTCGATTCCCATGCAGGTCATCTTTTTCATTGTTCTGTTGCACAACATCAGTGACACTGCTTGTCTCTTCCGTTCTATACATATGAGAGCTAACACCTATATAGTAAGCTGACGAACACCTACTCATTTCATAGTTTTTTTTCTTATGATTCTCTTTCTCACAGTTCTCGTGGTGATTGCTGTTTCGCAGTGTTGCGTATCCATAGTACACGCTTCATGATCGAAACAGAATTGAAAGTTATTTCGAATACCAAAAAAATATTGGAACAGGGATACTTTCGCTAGACTCAACAAGGCATTTCAACTCTTAAAAGTGCCTCATGTACAAAGAATTTTATCGACATGAACGTGAGAATATTCGTTTTAATTTATGTTCGCTGTGATCCCTGTTCAAATGGTCTCAAAACGCCCAGACTTACGTTATGCCTTACGAGTTGATACTCTTCGAAGTCAGTGTTACCGCTAAGCTGAAGGCTCTCTACCATATAAAACTTGAAGGCCAGTGATTTCCTTAGACGAGAGTGATTGAGAGATCACACTTCACTCATCCTAGTCCTTAACTATAATCTTTTTCGGATTACACTACTATTCAAGACTTGTCTTGCTCTGGGTTTAGAAAATCAAGCTATTTAACATTCATCCATAATATTGCCCTATGATTCGTAATTATGAAGTCTTCTTTAGAGTTTTTCAAATTTGCATTATAGAAATCTACAAAGATGTACATGCTGTTCAGTAGTTTCATTCTGATTCTCGTGGTTCTTATTTGGATGTATCTGTTATTCTATAAAGACGATAATAGTTCGTCGATTCCAATTGTAACACATGGAAAGTATCCTATCGTCGGTCATTTACTTCCGTTTCTTAAGGATCGAAGAAAATTCTTGATGGAATGTCGTCAACGATATGGTCCTTGCTTCAGAATTCAATTGATCACTCAACGAATTACATTTGTACTCTCGCCCTCAGACTGGCCGACTATTGCTCGAAATCCGTCGTTTCACTTTCAAACGCATGATTTTGCGCTAAAGGTATTCGATACGGGCTACAATGTCACAGGTGGGCATAATATTTTTCAACTAGTATAACATAACAAAAATACATTAATCTATGACAGGTTTTACTGAAACAGAAAAAGAAGTTCACCGCTATTATATCAAGTACTTAAAAAATCACAACGGACTTGAACCCATGATTACGGAGTTTGTCCGACATTTACGCATATTAATGATGCGCGAAAAAGCAGCACGAAAAAACAGTAAGACCTTGTTCGAATGGGCATCAACAGGATTATTGGCTTTGAGTCATCGCATGATTTTTGAACCGTCATCATTGGCGTTGTTTGGCGAAATTGACCCGCTCTCACTCGAAGAAGATTTTCGTCTATTTGACAATAAAATCCATTATTTTACTGCTCTTCTTCCTTCCTGGGTCTATCGAATATTTTTTCGGCGCGAATTGGAAGCCCGCTCTCGTTTGAACGATTCATGGCTAAGAAAAAAACATCCATTACATGAGAGTGACTTCATAAGAGATCGAACGAATAGCATACTCGATCATCATGAGAGGTTTTCGAAACGAGAGTTTGGTGGCAAGCAAACCTTTATGCTTTGGGCTTCTTTGGCAAACAGTATTCCAGCTTTATTCTGGTGTTTATTTTATATTTTATACGACACGAAAGCTGTGGAAAGTATTAAACAAGAGATCGACACATATTTGCCAGTCTTTTCGCTTGATGACGATGATAGCAGTTCGATAGTTGATGAATGGACTCTCGATCGATTAGCTTCGTGCGTTAATCTGGATAGTGCGGTGAATGAAGTACTGCGTCTAGTTGCAGCACCAATGATGCTGAGAAAATGTTTGCACGACACTGAGATCATTCTAAATGACGGGCGTATCTTAAGTCTCATATCGAACGACGCAGTTGCCTTGTTTCCTGCGGCAGCACATGGCGATTCTGATCTATTTCCTAATCCAGAAGAGTTCATTTTCGATCGATTTACTGAGAAAAATTCTGATACTGTGCTTGGCTTCATGCCTTTTGGTATGGGTAAGAATGTATGCCCTGGACGATTCTTTATCAGATATGAGATCAAAATTTGCGTTGCAATGATTCTTCGATATATTGACTATAAATTAACTGATGCAAGACCGATTTCCAAACAAAACCCCGATCGTGTGGGTGTTGGTGTTGCACCACCGGATCAAGACATGTCCATTATGTATCGATATAAACAATAACATTATGCAACTAACGCAGTTTGCAGAATTGTTCTTCGAAAGCGAAGTTTTTTATTCAACTGAGCAACTTATTTAATAATAACTTTTGTATTATCGAGAGCGCTCTTTTCAATTTTATATTTGAGATTAAATAAGCCGTATACTTTTTTCACAAACTGTGGCTCGTCCTAGAAGAAACTCTCTACTTTGGTCACTCTTATACCTAGTTGCTTTGAAATAATGCAAATTAATTTTTAAGCTGTTTTTGGGTGTGGGTGTGGGTGTGAATAAAGAGGGAAATGACACCCACACCCCACACCCACACTCGCATCTCACACCAAAACCCACACCCTATATTTTCTAGAAAGCAATTGGTTTTAATAGTGAAATAATATTTCGACATTTTTTCTCTATAAATAAATTGTATAAAAATAAGTTATGAGTGATGTAGACAATGTTCTTTTAACACAAATACGGTCAGTTTATTACCATAAATGTTAAAAAATTGACTTCAGATCTTTTTTCCGAGTTGATTAAAAATATTTCCAAATTTTTCTATAAGAAAATCCGATTTCTAAATTTTTTATCTGGCAACCCTGACGCTCGGGTACCTCCTCAGATACCCCTTCGGATACCCAATGGCATTTTAGGGAAGAATCGGTTTTTGAAAAGACTGTTTCGGTTTCCGATAACAGTGAAAAGGTATTGTAGAATACTCTAAGAATATTGAAATCGGAAGTTTCGAGAAGCGAAAGGTTTCCGAAACCTCGGAAACAAGGAAGGTATTCTTGAAAACGCTTACGATAATCGGAAACGAAAAAGGGTTCCCGAACGGGTTTTCGAGGTGGTTTTAGCTTCCCCGGATACGGAAATTTTTTAGAGTGTAGCTACTATGAGAAAAACATGAAATAAACATCAAAAGAAGTAAGTCACACGGTAGTAAAGAAAATAAAAACTTTTTATTCTAATTATGACAATACTTTGGTCTTGGTTATTTTTAAGCAAATAGCGAAGGCAGAACAGATAGTATATCATGTGTAACTTCTTACCCAAGAAGAAAGGAAAATAAAGTGTTTTTCTATTAAGTTTAATGTTAAAATATAGTGAACCTCATCGTTGGATGTTGTTAGGTTAAATATGATAGAGTATTTACTCTTGAGAGTTCTTTTCTTCGCATCTGTCGTTTTATGTCATGTAAGTGATTGAAGGAATAATGAGAAAAATATGCTCCATTTGTGTGATAGTTAAAAAGCCTTTATCAATGTGTGCACAATATTTTCATCTGTTGCTATTAATCTATGAAATTTATTATTTTTTTTGTATGAAAGAAAAAGCATATTAGAAGCAATATTGAGTTTCAATTTATCGAATCATTAAATTCTATGCATTTTGACTGTGAATCAATACGGCTTAGAATACCACCTGTGGGTTAAAAATAAAAATAAAAGATACTCTTGCAATATTATTGCATTGTAACATAAACGATGATTGGAATTACAAACCATTATTTCATTTTGATTCTTCTCAGGTAAGTGATACTGATTCTTATCTTTCATTATTCTAACATTCACTGGTTTTTCATTTTTAGTATTATAGGTTTGATTTCTATTGAATCGTATATGTTCATATATTAATTTGTTTTATTTTGATAATTAGTTCAAGTGAAATCTCAAATATGTCAAGAATTTGCCCAATATGATAAATGTTCGACAAATAATGCATGTGGTTGCTTTCATATGACAGATGTTGGTAACATTGGTATGTGTGGCTTTCTCGAGATAGATTGTTCTCAAGTTAAGCCATGCAATTCTTCAAATAATGCATGTAATCTGTCTGACAGTATCTGTGTTCGACATCCTCGATGTAATGATCTTCCACTTTGTTATCCACTGTCGATGATTGATCAACGAATCTGTCCTTCGATAAAAAGTGAGTAAATAAATAGTAATTTAAAGATTCATGTAAAATTCGAAGTTTTGTTGAAAACTACTCCTTTATCATGTAAATATTATTCATATATTCAAGTAAATGTTGATATATGAAAGATGAAGAAGACTCAACGATTATTTGAAAAGTAGACAGAGTGTCGCATGGATAGATTGAATTGAAACTATCTGAAAAAAGATCTTGTATTGTCTCATGAACAATATCGAATAGTCTTAAATGGAGAGTCGAAAGCATTTGCCTTATTTACATAAATATTTTATGTTGATGAATATCAACGATTCATTTCAAATAAAAAAATCAATAAAAATTATTTTAGTTAAATATTGCATAAATTTCAAAGTATTCTACTTGAGTTTTTAATGATTTTAGAAATTATTAGATTGAAATTGATTATGAAATGATTTGAATAATTTTTATGTTTTTCGTATTATAATAATATAATATAAGCGGAAATATTTAGTTAACAAAAGATAATTTCTTTTACTAAGTAAAATGAAACAAACTTACTGAGAAGACATTCTTAATTAATAAAACACCTCAGAATTTTTAGATTGACACGAACTAACTTCACAAATTCGTACATTTCTCGTCATACCTTCTTTATCTATAGTATTCCCTTGAGTTAATTGTAATCATTAGAAGTTGCATGTAATACGAAATCTATTTATTTCTCATCCATACATACAATTCTTTATCAGAAATGTGAAATTTACTATAGCACTATATCATGAAAGATTTCTTCATAAGAGAAATCATTTTTATCTAACAAATTTTAATAGTTCCATACATAATCAGACTATTGAGAGAGTTCAATGATAAATATTTATCTAAGAATAAATAAATTCAAATATTTTCATCTAGAATGGATTAATACTGGTAAAATGAATTATGCACGATATATGCATAAAGCATCTATATTATCAAATGGACAAGTATTAATTATGGGTGGAATTGGTGATCGTGCAATTGCTTTAAAGAGTGCTGAATTGTATGATTCATCAACAGGACTTTGGACAGTCACTCGTAATATGACTAATGCAAGATTTGGTCATGCAGTATCTTTGCTAATAAATGGAAAAGTACTAGTTACTGGCGGGAATGGAAATGGATATTATTTAAATACTGCTGAATTGTATGATTCATCAACAAAAACTTGGACAATGACTGGTAATATGAGTTATACGCGTTTTGGTCATACAGCATCTGTATTAACAAATGGAAAAGTACTGGTTACTGGGGGAGATGGTCATAGTCAATATTTGAATACTGCTGAATTATATGATCCATTAAAAGAAACATGGACAAATACAGGAAATATGAACTATCCTCGATATCTTCATACAGCAACTGTCTTACCAAATGGAAAAGTGTTAGTTACTGGTGGATGGATGGGTGATTATTTAAATAATTCTGAATTGTATGATCCATTAACAGAAACATGGACAATCGCTGGTGTCATAAATAATTCACTGTCTTATCATACAGCATCCATGTTGAAAAATGGAAAAGTGTTAATTAGTGGTGGAGTTGATCCCAAAAGTATTGCTTTAAATAGTAGTGTATTGTACGATCCATCAACAGGAAGTTGGACAGCTACTGGTAATATGAATAATGGACGATGGGCTCATACAGCATCCGTATTACCAAATGGAGAAGTGTTGGTTACTGGAGGATATAATGGTACTACTTTAAATAGTGCTGAATTGTATAATCCATCAACAGGAACATGGACAGTTATAAATATTATGAATAATCCACGAAGTAGTCATACAGCATTTGTATTAACAAATGGGAAAATGTTAATCGCTGGTGGAATTGATAATATGCCTTTGAACAGTGCAGAATTATATTAAAATAATTTTAAAGATAAATTAAACAAATAATTTTTGAAATTTCATATAATTTTTTATCTTTTCAAATATCATTCTTAAAGTACATTTATCTTATTATAAGAATAATGAATCGTATCTATACAAACATGTTTTAGTCATCATATTTCTAAAAAGTTATTTCATATTAACTGTTCACTCTCATCATGGTTCTAGAAGATCGATGGATAAAGGGTATGGGGGTGGGTGAGTATTAGGTCGAATACAAGAGAATAACACCCACATCCACACCCTATACTTCGTGATCTTACACGGACTTGATAAATAACAGAAAAGCGCATCGTGATGCACAAGCGGAGAAGGATAAAAGTCTACTTGCATGATAAAAACACCTATAAAAGCATCGTCCTATCAACGTTATTTTATCTGCCTGCGTAGTTAGAGTGAGCAAAAAATATGCTTATCATAGCCACGTTGTTGGCAGCTTGCTTGTGCCTTTTCGTTGCCTATCTATGGAGATTAAAATCACGCTACGATTATTTCATTCGCCGGAATATTCCCGGACCATCATTTGAATTATTTTTTGGTCATTATCGGACTCTTTGGAACACCCCTTCCTATTCCTGACAAATTCAAGAATGAACACGTCAGTATGCACCAATTTATGGTCTTTTCGAGGGAACACGTTCAATGTATATCGTCTCAGACCCTGATTTCTTGCAAGAGGTATTCATCAAGCAATTTTCGTCATTTCATTCACGTCGTGGAAATATTCTCGATCAAATTCGTGCCAATAATGCACCGAGTTTATTCAATGCCCATGCCAATCAATGGCGACGTCAACGGTATATCATCAATCCAACATTTACAACGATTAAATTGAAAACAATAGCACCACTGATGAATAAATGTATTGAATCATTAATGGCAATGAATTCAATATCTACGAGATGTACAAACGATTGACCATGGATGTCATCTGTAAGTGACGAACCAAACCTTCTCAAGAAAACAAGAAAATGGATTTTGTAGGGTATTGTGCGTTTGGCATCGATACTGACATGCAAAATGACCTTGAAAATGATTATATGAAAAGAATACTGCTCTTGACGGGAAGTGATATCGGCAAACTACCCATTGTGAAATTATCCAATCTGATGCCATTTCTGGATCCGATCTTGATTTTTATGTTCAGAGCTGGAACGACCTTGGCTGATGCATTGCGTGAATGGGTGCCTTCATTTATGCGTAAAAGACCAGTTCCGCCCATTACTTGGATTATTGAACAAGTCAGAGGAGTGGTGAAAGAAAGATTAACATCGGGCAAGAGACGAATGGATCTCCTTCAATTGATGTTGGATGCAGCCAAACAGGAAGACGTCAAAGTTAGCACAAGATTTTTAGGAATCATGCTAATTTTACTTTTCGTTTTAGGAGGATGGAAAAGACGAACTAATGTCGAAACATCTTCGATATGCAGAAGTGGTGTCGAATGCCATTCTCTTTATGTCCGCCGGCTTCGAAATGACATCCATTCATCTGGCTTATTCGATCTATGTTTTGGCTACACACTCTGACATTCAAGAAAAATTACAGACAGAAATCGATCAACAATGGAGAGAAAATGAAGAACTTGATTATGAACGAGTCTCTGATATGGCATATATGGATTTATTCATTCGAGAAGTCTTGCGCATGTACAGAGTTACAGACCAATCAAGTACTCGACAATGTAACACGGCAACAACTGTTTGCGGTCATCAAATTGATGAAGGTAATGGAATATTCATACAGTTCGATACCCAGTTTATTTCGTTCCCAAGGAGTGTGACAGGAGGCCTACGTCTCATCATTCATCGAGGATAGTAGTAATATTCTTTCGTTTTTCAGGCTGTGTTATTCAAGCAGATGTTTATTCGGTTCACTATAATGCTGATCTCTTGGGACCTGAGGATCCACATCTCTTCGTTCCGGAACGCCCTATGGTCAAACGTCATCCAGTTGCCTTTCTGTCATTTGGTGTTGGACCTCAAAACTGCGTAGGAATGAGGTTTGCTTTGATGGAACTAAAGATGTGTCTAGCACGTCTGCTGCATGCATACACGATTTTACCGGGAGACAAGATTTAACAAGGTATGACTCGACGAGAAACACCCATCATTGCACCTCAGGCTATGTATGTAAAACTTCGAAAACGATCGGACTAATCGAACATGAAAAATGACCAGACATTTTTTTAATGGATCATTTGATTTTGCACAAATAAATACTTTTTTCGATAGTCATACGAATGAATGTCAAAAAAAGTAGTAGGAGATATAGTAGATTCAATGTACACTATGGTGAACAGTGGATCATTTTTACAACATCTGAGATGTATTCAGAATTCTTTTTTTTTGTCGCTACAACAAACGAATTTCACTTCTTGTTCAATTCAAAAACAACACAAAAAGAACATTGTTCGGTAAAAGCAGTATTGGTTCTGTATGAAAACCCCTGTGGCACGAAACGAAGAAAAGGTTCTTCTTGTGTACCCTACGGAAAATCCTTTTTTTGGTTTGATGGAATAACTTTTCATTACAATACACTATTATCATCATCGATATCAAGATCAACATTCATTTCTTTTTATAGATAGGTGAATAGGAGGGATAGAGCAAAAAGTTCTTAACAATGATCGTTAGTGTATGCAAGTGTTCGATGAACAAATAAAACTGAGTTAAATACTTTAGCGAAATAAAAAGATCAAGACGAAACAGTAGACAGGTTTATAAAAATTGAATAATTGTTTACATACAGTAACGGTCTCTATCAGAGATGTTCATGATGGTGCTGCCGCACCACTACCGCCGTGGCATTAGCGGCGCGGCAGCGGCAACTTTTGTGTTTTTACCATCGCGGTGCAGCGCGGCAGCAGTTGAAATTTCAATTTTTTCCGAGAAAATCTAATACTTGAGTAGACTATTTTACTATGATTCAAAGCAAATCAATTTTTTTCTTTCTCAATCATTACATTTTCATTATACTTTAATCGGCTAATAGAAATATAAAGGTTAGCATCATGTAACTACATGATGACTTTATGTAGGAGCATGTACTAGATTTTCAAGAATTCATATTCTAGCACATTTATAATTTATATACATAAGCAACTATACATACGAAAATGTTCGAAGCATTATTAGGTGTAAAAGTTTTAAATGTCAGATATATCTCCAAAGAAGTAAATGAATTATTTTCAATTCTAATGGGTGCGGCAGAATAAATTGCCGCCTTTTGTATTTTATTTTTTTATCATAGTGTGCTGTTTTAAAAAATAAAATATACCACAAGATGCAGCATGAAAAGCTTTACAATTTACATAAGACCGCTTATTTTATAGTTGCACTTTTCTTTTTTCTAAATAGGCAAAATTTTGGGCGATCGAATTTCGACCATGCAAAATTGGTAATGTTTTTGAAACACGGCGTCTTCATTTTTTGTTATTTCATCATTTCGTCACCTGATATGCTTTATCAAAAGAAAACAAAATACACCACAAGATGCAGCGCGACAAGTTCTACAATCTTCATAGTAAAGCTTATTGTAATTGTTTGCAAAAGAAGGAAAATTCTGTAGCATCAATTTTTGCAATGCCAAAAATTTGGACCCTGAAGACTTTGTTTATATTGAAAACGAAAAGTGCAACTATAAAGTAATCGGTTTTATATAAATTATAGAGCTTTTCACGCTGCATCTTATGGTATATTTTGGTTGTTAATACAATGGATTGAGGCATTGAAAACTAACCTGCCTCATCTGTTGGGATCTAGTACTACAGCACAAATGATAACGAAAAGAAGTCTTATCGAAAATTTATTACTACGAAATTAGTTGAAGTATGACCAAGTAGCATAGAAAAATAGAGCATTCTTTTCTCTATCAGACCATATAGAAAGGAAATTTCTTAAAGCGTACTATATGTCTAAGTAACGCCGTGATCAGAACTTTTTATCAACCCTAAGTAATTTAATATTTCAAGTGTTCAGATGTTCCCGGTCATTCGCTGTATGTTTGTTCTTCAGTTGAAGCTCTAAGGAACTCATGATTGTTATCCATTTCTTCACATACTGATATTTGACGTAATAACTCATCAGCGGCGGATCTAGAATTTTTTTGATAAGGGGCGATTCGATAGACATGGGGCGATTTTGATCAAAAAGCAAGTTTTGAAGTTTATTAGTAGTAGAATGCACTCTATTTTTAAGACTTTTCTGCTGGGAAAATCCAAAAATTTTTGTTTCGAATGGGGGCGATCGCCCCAAGCGCCCCCCCCTAAATCCGCCACTGTAACTCATACCAGCTATATGCTACAAAAACGGTTTTTTATTAGAGAACAGAGAGCTTCCTATAGATCGCACTATTTATAACGTTGCGGTAGCGGCGCGGCAGTGGTAGGTTTTCTTTTTTGTTCATCGCGGCAGCGGCGCGGTGACCTTTAGTTGTCGAAGCACTGCGGCGCGGCAGCGGCACATTTCCAGCCGCGATGGACATCTCTGTTTCATAGTACGTTTTGCAAAAAAAAATTGTTTGCTCCTATTTCTCATATATTCCAAAATATCTTTTTTACATTCATTATCGATCAATTTCGTAAAAACGGTGATTTACTTGCAACAATCTGCTTCTTCTGATATTCATTCACTATTACCAAATAATGACCGTCATTTTTTCGGCGATTTTTATTTATCTCATTTTTTTTCCTTGTTTTTTTTCACGTATTTTCAACAAGCAGCAAGACGCTGATACTCGTTTGACAAAATATAATATTTGAAAAGCTTCACATTACTCATACCTCTTCATTTACCTTTTTCTCGTTGCGTTCTCTCTTTCTTCATCATTTATTATCGTTTGTCTTCTAAGCAAAAATACAATAAATAAAAACAAATCATTATTTACATTAATTACCATTACTTGACAGCGTAGTATATAAGAAAAAAAAAGAATCATATACAAATATTGATGTAATTATTTCAAATTTTGCTAAT